CAGTGTTTTCTGGATGATATGTGGTCGACCTGTGCTCTTCTGAAACAATAACAATTTTAGGAAATTAAAAACCAGGATGTGAGCAAAACTTCTGTGAAACAGTATAAAAACGTTTTCTACAATGTTTCCTCACGTGAGCATATTTGTGTGCTCATGATCTTTACAAATGAAAACTATGCATCTTATTGGACTTGGATTTTAATTAAAGACCCTCTTGTTGTTGTTATCCCAAACATTATACTTCAAGGTTTAATGGGATTAAATGTTGGGTGATCTGTTGTTACTCTTCTCATTTGCTTATTTTGCAATTTGTTCACCAGCTATAAAAGACATTTTTTAGGTAAAATCTTGTAATGCCAGGACCTCATGACTGATGACAGTCATGTGTTGCTTAACATCTACAATATAGTCTGTGAAATTGGATATTGTGTAATTTGGATGTTGTCTGAACACCATATTGTAGTCTTGTCCTGCTTTTCCTTTTTTTCTTTTTTTATAAATCATTTTATTGGGGACTCATGCAACTCTTATCACAATCCACACACACATCCATTGTGTCAAGCACACTTGTACATTTGTTGCCATCATCAGTCTCACATTTTCTTTCAACTTGAGCCTTTGGTATCAGCATCTTCATTTTTATCCTCCCTCCCTTCCCTCTCTTCCCTTCCTCACGAACCCTTGAAAATTTATAAATTATTATTTTTCCATGTCTTACTCTGACTGATGTCTCCCTTCACCCACTTTCTGTTGTCCGTCCCCCAGGGAGGGGGTTATATGAAAACCATTGTGATCGGTTTCCCCTTTCTCCCCCACCTTCCCCTTCCCCTCCTGGTATGTCTACTCTCATTATTGGTCCTGAGGAGTTTATCTGTCCTGGGTTCCCTATGTTTCTAGCTCTTATCTGTACCAGTGTACATCCTCTGGTCAAGCCGGATTTGTAAGGTAGAATTGGGATCATGATAGTGTGGGGAGGAACCATTAAAGAACTAAAAGAAAGTTGTATGTTTCATCGTTGCTACACTGCATTCTGACTGGCTCATCTTCTCCCCATGACCCTTCCATAGGGGATGTCCTGTTGCCTACAGATGGGCTTTGGGTCTCCAATATGCACTCCCCCTCATTCACAATGACATGATATTTTTGTTCTTTGATCCCTGATACCTGATCTTATTGACACCTCGTGGTCACACAGGCTAGTGTGCTTCTTCCATGTGGGCTTCATTACTTCTCAGCCAGATGGCCGCTTGTTTATTTTCAAGCCTTTAAATCCCCGGATGCTATATCTTTTGATAGCCGGGCACCATCAGCTTTCTTCACCACATTTGCTTATGCACCCATTTTGTCTTCAGAAATCGTGTCAGGAAGGTGAGCATTATGGAATGCAAGTTTAATAGAACAAAGTGTTCTTACATTGAGGGAGTACTTGAGTAGAGGCCCAATGTCCATCTGCTACCTTAATACTAAACCTGTAAATATATGCACATAGATCTATTTCCCCATCGTCACATAAAAATATACTTACATATGTACATGCCTGTATTAAACCTCGACAAATGCCCTTTGCCTCCTAGTTCCTTCTTCTATTAAAGATCGTCTTTTTTTTTTTGCAGTTTTATTTTTTTTAATCCTTTTATTAGGGGCTCATACAACTCTTATGACAATCCATACATACATCAATTGTGTAAAGCACATTTGTACATTCATTGCCCTCATCATTCTCAAAACATTTCCTCTCCACTTAAGCCCCCGGCATTAGGTCCTCATTTTTCCCCTCTCTCCCCGCTCCCCCTCCCTCATGAGCCCTTGATAATTTATAAATTGTTATTTTGTCATATCTTGCCCTGTCCAATGTCTCCCTTCACCCACTTTTCTGTTGTCTGTCCCCCAGGGAGGAGGTCACATATAGATCCTTGTAATCTGTTCACTCTTTCCAACCCATTCTCCCTCTACCCTCCCAGTATCGCCACTCACACCACTGTAAAGACCGTCTTTTAACTGAGCTAGTTTACATAATAACCATAGTTTTAGCCGCTGCTCTCAAACCTTCGCTTCCTTAAAAGCTATGAATAAGAGATGGACGAGAAAGGACCACAAATAGTGGTTATTCATGTCACAGGTCTTATTTCTCTAGATTATATACCTTGCAGGTGGATGGCTGAGTCATATAGTATTTGTATTTCTAACTTTTGAAGGGAGCATCATGCTGTTTACTATAGTGGTCCCATCAGCAATGTGTGAGTTCCACTCTCCTTACACCTTACCAGCATCTATGGTTTTCTGTTTTTGTTTTTTATCATCGCTATTAGTGTTTGGGCAAGTTGCTTGGATTTGCATCTATTAACTTAGTGAAAGGAACTCTGGAATGCACTGTAGGCCAAACACTGGGGTACTAACCACAAAGCTGACAGTTCAAATCCACCAGACACTCCGCAGGAAAAGGATACGTCTGTCTGTTTCTATGAACATTTACAATCTCCAACCCTTCGAACTGCTGACCTTGAGATTAGCAGCCAAACTCATAACGCTAGGCCACCAACCTAGTAGCTTCCACCAGGCTCCCAGACAACGTACAGAGCAGTTATACTCTGTCCTACAGGGTGATCTCTTCGAGTCAGAATTGACCTCTTAGCAGTGAGCTCGATTTGGGTTTAACAGCTCATGATTGTGAACATTTCTGCATGCGTCTGTTGGCCTCCTGGATGTCTTCTTTGGGGAACTATATGCTCATGTTAATGCACTTCATTCATATTGTAATTGGATTGTCTCTGTTGTTGACATGTCTGATGTTTCTAAAAATTTTAGAGGTAGTACTATTCAGATATGTCATACTCAAAAAAAATCCCCTCCGTCTGTCAGTTCTCTTATGACATTTTTTTAAACTTTCTATTGTGAATTAGATGGAGGTCTACAGAGCAGATTATAACTTTACATTCAATGACTCAGACCCACTGTGGCGCTCGCTGAGTTGTGAGTGGCATTAGTGGTGGGTCTGGCTGGCTGGTATGAACCCAGTGTCACTTCCTATGGATTTAGGGGGTGAGTGGCTGGTGGGGATGCAAGCAATCACACTGCTGCCGTGTCTCGCCCAGTGACAGGGCAGGGAGGAGTTGAACGGAGGTGTGCATGCAGTTTCAATCATCACCCTTGGCAAGGCAGGAGGGAGGAGAAGGAATGAGCCGAGACTTGGAGAAAGCGAATGGTGAGTGGGCTGCATGGTCAGGTGGGTAGCAGGAAGGGACCAGCTGTAAATGAAGTTGCTGCCCTCACTGGTTCGTGGCGGGGAGGAATGAGGGATGAGCGGGTACATGTGCAGTCATGCCCCCTCACCTCTGGCTATGTTGGTCAGGAGAGAGCTTAGCTGGTCTGAGTCGAAGGGGCAGAGTGAGCAGCTGGCACCACTCGGCTGGGTTGGGGCTGTAGGGAGGCAGTGGGCATGAGTGCATGCCACCCACCACAGAGGTGTTGGACATGTGGCACATCATCTGTGGGAGTGCACACAGCCAGTCACCCTGAGCAGAGTGGCAAAGGGCCAAGGGAAGAGGGAAGGAGAGCTGGCTGCACTGCTGGGTAAGGGACAGGTGGCACAGAGCTATCACTTGTTATTCGGGGGACAGGGTGGGGGTCTATACTTCTGGTCCCTGGGAGGGCAAGGAGGGAGGAGGAGATCCTACTCCTCTGGATGCTGGCCACTGGCGGCACTCAGGACAAGTGCAGGTGACTATCAGATGCCTGCTCTGATCCAATGCAAAGGGCTGGGGGACTCTCCAGAGACCAGTACCTGGACCTGCACCCCAAGCACTCTCTCCTCTGGTGGCTCTTCAACCAAACAACCAGGGACGGCTAATTTGTTCTATCTCTGTTTACTGGTTCTCTGTGGACACCTGCGTCCCTGGAGCTCTGGGCTGAATTCATGCATTTCCCTTCCTTGAATCTGGTTCATGCTTTATTCACCTTGCTTCCCTCTAAATTTGTCTACAGGACTCTCCTGCTGCACAGTCTGGGAACTGGCCTTCTTGTGTTCCTCACCTGGAAATGCTGCTCTGCTTGACCTGTCTTAAGGTGGCCGTGCTAGGCCAGGCCACTGGGGGCACTTCCACACTTCATCTCGTCGTGTTCACTGCTGTCCCTGTTTCTTCTTCCAGTGGGTGTGTGAGCTGATTCTTTATCATTTCATTTGATGCTCAGAGTTCTAAGACCACACTCTCTACCTGTCTCACTTAGTTTCTCAGGTTTTCAATACAGAGGGGCAGCGTGGTGTGTCTGACTAAGTCACCATCTTAGGCAATGCTTCTCTCTCAAAATGTAATTTATATAAATTTGAACTCTCTAGAAATTAAAAAAATTTTTCCTCTCCCCAATCAAATAGCAACATTTGGACTCCATTACTCTCAAAATATTCTATTTACATCAGTAGTTCTTTTCACTACTCTGATTTCCCTTCCATTCCTCCTGTCTAAAGCTCTCCCCCTTGCCCACGCCTCTCCAGCCTCGTAGGACCCTTCACAGCAACTAGAACACATTGGCACATTAACCCTCAAGGTCTA